TTCCTGCATATCTTACCAGGTCGTCACTCCATCTAGTGCGGGGACGCCCTACACTTCGCCTGCCGGTACGAGGCTGCCACTCGAGAACCTTTCTTCCCCATCGGTTGTCGGTTCTTCGAGCTATATGGCCGGTCCATTGCCACTTCAGCTTACTAATCCGTTGGGCTATGTCGGTCACTCTGGTTCTACTGCGGATATCCTCATTTCTGAGTTTATCACGCAGAGAAACTCCGAGCATAGCCCTCTCCATAGCTTCCTCATCCGGCCAGCAGTGAAGGACCACGTCTCAGTTCCGTATGTCATCACTGGCAACACGCACTGGGTGTACAGTCTCGTTTTCAAGTTTTGAGGTATACCTGACGAGAAGATGTGCAGTAATTTCCCGAACGCTGCCCAACCGAGTTGAATCCGTCGATTGACCTCTCGGTCGAAGTTGGACTTACCTAGTCGGACTATTTGTCCCAGGTAAACATACTCGTCAACAACTTCGAGCTTAGTGTTCCCAACAACTACCGGCATAGGTGTGACATGGACATTAAACATCATCTTTGTTTTGTCCATGTTCATCTTAAGACCTATCCGTTGGGAAACACTATTGAGGTCATTGAGCATAGTGCTTAGGTCCTCCAGCGATTCTGCCATAAGGACTATATCGTCGGCAAATCGAAGATGAGTGATGTACTCGCCATTGATTTTGATACCGTATCCTTTCCAGTCCAGAAGCTTGAAAACATCTTCCAATGCAGCGGTAGAGTTTCGGGGATATGACGTCACCCTGTCTTACACCTCTCTGCAATTGGATAGGTTTCGTACTCTGGTTCTGTACTCGGATAGCCATCGTAGCCCTACTGTACAAGCACTTCAACTTAACTACTAACAACTTAAATAATATAATAATTGACTAAAAATATAGAGGGAATTCTTTTACAAAGGAGACGGTCCAAAATTGTATGAAGCGTAGGCCTAGTTTATGTACTAGTATGGAAATAAATTAAAATAAAATATTAAACCACTTTTGATCATTCAAATCCACGAATTTGCCTTAATTTCAGTGGTATTAATATTTTATTCTCACCAAAAACTGCAACACTATTGGCGAATTGAAGTCGTTTTAATTCGACGTTAGCTGTCATCTCTGATATCACCTATAGCCTATCAGGTAGATAATAGATTAATTTATTATGTAAAATAGCTAAAATACCTCGACACTAGTAGGAAAGTAAGGCAAAAAAGTTGTATTTTTTGATCAAAACACGAATAACGTGTAATAAAGATTGTGTATGTGCTTTTTTGATCTTAAAACAACTAATGTTCTTGTTGATATTTGTAAAACAAATGTAAAAAGTACTACCTAATTCCAGACAAGAAGATTGTTGAGATAAATCAACGGTGTCTATACACAAAATTATTTCATTGCATTCATTAGTGTGTACTAATGCACACTTCAGTGCCAGGGGCATCCAGGACTTTTTTTGTTTTACATGGGCAAATGGAGCCTAAGTGTTTTGTTAGCTTTTACAAAAATTTTGTGCCAGATAGCTCAAAGCCGAGATTATATGTGAATAGCGGGTAACTCCGTTTCTCTACCCTAAAAAATTCACCCTGAGTCTAAGATTGGTGACGCGCATCCATATTGGAGAGCGTCCCAGGGACACCTTGTGTCTGACTCAGAATCTGCATAAATGCATTCGGCAATATTAGCTAGTGCGGCCTGATATTCTAGAACTAACTGTTGCTACGCGAAACGGTAGTGACCTTTGATCCGAAAACTTCGTGTGCGTTTTGTGAGTTAACCTTATACCCAGCGATAGTTAGTGGCTTCTGTAAGTTAGTTAATCGTAAGATAGAGTGAATTGACTGTCATCGTGACGAACGAGGAAAGTGACTGTGGACAACGCCTCGGAAGGCCCCCTAAAGTTGGAGCGGTGTCGACGCTCGGGCTGCTGCCGACGGCCAAGGTCTAGGTTCAATCACCATCAATCACACCCAAATACACATCACATCACCTTATTTCCCTTGCACTACACAAACACATGGGACCAGACCGACTCCGGAGGGACCAGTCGCCTTGGATATAGGTAAGTAAGCTCCGTCTAAATTCCTCCCGGTCGACTGGCCGTAGTATAGAAAACTCCCCCATATATTTAGTGTAATTAGAGAGATCCCACGTGGCCATATTCTGGCCCCGTCCCTCTGCTGCTCGTCGATGGGATTACTCATGGGCCCTAATCCCGTCAGCCTTGGTTGGGGCAGCTAGGGGCGTGTACACTGAGATACTACTTTATTGCACTAATAATAAAGAATATATTTAACTCATTTTACTTTAGAGTGGCTGTTTTAAGGTGGAGAAACAGAATAATCCTGAATACTAATTTCTGTTCAGGTATATGTGTCTATCTGGGCTGCTGAAGTGCAAGGGTACAATCATAGATAATATAATTTATTTCTTATAATATGGTACATTACAGTTGTTACAAAAGAATTCGCATCCTAAATACGTTTCCGGCGTACAAATATTTTCATATAACAGGTCCTCAGCGTGTCAGAGTATGCCTTGAGACTTGATAGACATTTAAAGCCTGGATAATGTCATAACAAAGGTTAACAGTCCTATGAATTATAGAAAGTGAAACATTAGGTCAATCATGTTTTGGATACTTAAGGAAATATAAATAAAACAGCTTAATTTTTTAGTTTTTTTATTTATTTATCCTACTTCAAAATCATCTCTTACTAAAATGCCATCCAGAATTGAGGCCGGTGCGGTTATGGAATTTTTATACCGAGCCCAACACAAATACCAGACAGCGGTCATTATGTGGGCACATCAACCCACTGTCTGTTGTCCAGAAGTGCAACTGCAATAATAATCATCTCATCCCAACTTGTCCCTTGTCTCGCCAACAGTACATAATATGTATAATAAGCTCTGTACGAGTGATGGCGAGATTTTATATGGCCGCTTATTAAAACAGAGTCTTGTTGGGGTGATATTAATTGGGTCACAACTTATCTGCTACCCAGTCTTCGTTGACACCAAATATACAATATACTGATAATATTGGCATTAGGGCGCTGGAGCTCATTTTCATGATTTGTGCCGACAGATAATTCTTGTAATACGTTTGCAAAACATTGTGAACATATTGGTGCATTTTCATCCATCTAGAACAAAATACTTTAATAAAGTATCTATATTGCAGAAGCGCATTTTAAATAGTGCAACATGTTATAACAGGTGAACTGAAAGATAATTACATCATATTAAGATTTTGCAGCCATTATGAACTTATGTAGAAATTAATAATTATTAACAGACTACAGATAGAAGCATGTCATTCAAATGCGTTTAATAGCTTAAGGAAATATCTTTCTTTAGTACATACCTGCTTACTGATTCAAAATGTGATTCTACAGAATACAGATGTCCGATATCAACGAAATCGAAATCTCACGTAAATCATTAAGTCCATAAAACAAAAACAGAGTCAAAATGTAGTAATCCAAAGTCCAAACAAAAAACCAAATCGCCAAAGAAATCCACAATTAAACACATTTACGAGTTCAGAACAAGTTCGGAATAAATAAAAATATCATTTGACATAAATGACATTTGACAAATAACCGTGTCTTTTTCTAAGATGTTTTTAAAGTATAGATACGTTATACTCGCTCTAAAATGGCAATACGAAAGTCAGGTAATTGCCCGACTCGCATTCAGTCGGGCACGCTCTCGCGTCGCGGCTATGTCTTCGCTACAGCGCGTAAATTTTCTAGTTATTCGTGATAAAAATGCCTTCCTGTGTTTTAGGCGGTGCACAAATTACCCGGCAACTGTTAGAGACAAGAAAAACGTCTCATTAATATTTTGAATATAGATGTTTTGTTCATAATTGATTTTATTATTTCAATTTTCAACACTAACCGCTAATGTAAACTTTTACGCTAGCTAGTGTGTTCGTTTTCCATATCGGTATGTCACGCGCTCGCGCCAATGAGCGCTAAGCAACAATCAATACGCAACTAATTATGTATATTCGTCTTTTTCTAACGATAGGTATGCCCTATCATTTGTCTCTTTTTGTTAGCGCAACGTGTCATAATAAATAACTGTACGTAGATATAATACTACCTGCGCCACTTTAAAATACAATAATGTTAGTGTGTAACCTGTCTATCTTATTTAATACGTCTTTGGTCTTTTTTACTTTTTTATGACTGGAAGGGCACCATCTTGTAAAACCATCAAAAATTTGGGATTGCATTTATATTTCTTGCAAGTTATTTAGTTTGATTTATGCCTCATTTTATTTTTAACAAAATCCCTGAATTTTTCGCTTTTTTACGGTATACTGTACATAGACTGGGCCTGAAATGGACCGTCTCCTTTACTACATATTTATAAGATTAATTAAATGTTAATTAATAAATCTTATAAAATGTAAATTAAAAAAAAACATCTCGAATTATAGTTTAATCGGTATAAAATATAGCAATTTTATTTAACTTACATTTTTCGACAGATGTCACATTATTAAAAAAAAACATGTTATACAAACTTATTATTATGCAACTCAACATATTCTTTAACCCTAAACTCAAGTTACACGTAAAAAAATATAGAATCCATTGCGAATATTTTATTTATGTATTACAATGAGATATATCTAAGTTCCTGTGTTAATCTGTGGAACATTATCCATAGTGTATAATGAGAAATCGACTTTTCTTGAGGAGAATTTACTTGAATTGACAATAACAAAAATGCAATATCTTTCATCCAATTTCTTTTGTACGGGCAGTGGATTAGTATTTTAATTTATATACACTGAAATATTATCAACGACCATTCTTGCATCCTTAACAAATTCTTTTGGAAATCTGTAGATTCAACAATTGCAATTTTATTAGATATACTATTAATATAATATACTTGATATTATTATTTTCTGTCTTTTAGACAATTTCATAAATATTATATTATAATTAAGTGTTTTAAACTAAATACAAGGTCTGGTTTGTGGCAAACAGAGATTGTAATGAGCAGTTTTGTTCCAAAAATCTGAATTTTTCCAACTACACCAACCCTTGCCTATTACTGTCGTCAAATCATCAGCGCCCGTATAATGTGGGTCTAAAATAAGATAACGGGTTTCATTTGTTTCCGCATTGTATTCCACACCTATGATTGTGTGCGCCAAAACTCCACCTCCTGGTAAAAAAGAAACATTATATAAAGAATTTTACTATTGTGGCGGATGATATAATTAACTAAGAATTCGTTAAACCAAACACCTTATAAACAATATTACCTAAGTATAGTGAAGAAGACCAGCATATTAAGTGCTTGGTGCTTGATCACCAAAAACAAATAACTTTTAAAAAAGGTAAAAGCCGACTTCGAAGAGTGTAAAGAATAGGTGACCTTTTTTTACTGAAAATGAGGCATTCTATCTTGATCCTAAGGGGTGACAACGCATATGCATTTTGATTCTTAATCGAGGCTAAACGTAGATGATGTAAGTGGATGCTGTGGACGGACCACAGCATCCACTTACCATCAGGTGGACTGTGTGTTCGTTTGTCACGCTTATTCTGTAAAAAATGTTTAGAGGTTGCAGTGCTTTTTAACTTATTGGAACCTCAGTAAATGTACAGAACTGTTGCGTAAAAATAAAATCATTTTATAAAAATTGAATATACAGACTATTTTAAAATTAATAACTTACCAATCATAATCGGGCTACCATGCTTCTGGAAATGGTATATCAACTCAGGCGTGTAACTCTGCAGTTCTGATCCAGTGTTTGCGAATATGATTCTAGATTGTACGCCGAGAAGAGTCTCCAAACAAAACATTACTTCTGTTGATCCAATCCATTGTTTTGAACCAATGAATGAGGATGGTTTGTCACCAATTTTAACAAGGCACTGTTGAATTTCTTTATGTGTCGGTATATTAGTTGTGTTGTAACCTTGATACCTAAACATAATTTTAAAAAAAATCATGTCGCGAACAAAGATCCAAAGTTAGAAGTTATATAATAAACTGGGTGTTACCTAAACCATGAGAATATCGTTTGCATAGAACGATAGGCACAACCCCAACCATCATCATTGAAGTTGTCTTGCATGTAATGGTGATAAGTGTAACGACCCCTTACTAAAGCTACCGTTATATGGGGAGATGTGGACGGTAACGGTAATGCTTCATGGGGATTAACTAGTCGTCCACCGTAGGTTGTGTATGCATTTCCCCTTCGAAATATAGGCTTATCTAGGGGCAGAGCGAGCTGCTCGTGTAATAACATTCTCTCTTTCTCTAGAACGATTAATAATCATATTATAAAAACACATAATTCATCAACATCTAAAATTTAATATTCATATCTAGCTCAAGGCAATTCCTACCCATACTCTCGTCTGGAATGTCTTTAGGTACAACTCTTGTGAGAAAATGACCTAATTCTTGAGGTAAATAATGGAATGTTTCTGGCAGTCGCAAACCTGCTCCATCACCTATGCCTTCTTGACCTGCATCAAACATTAAAAGGAAAGTCAAAGACAAATAATGTAAATATTATTTAAGTGGCATATTTAATTTTTTTTTATTGAGCCTATTTTAATATACTAGCTTTTTGTCCCGCTGTGTTACCCGCGCCCAAACTGTACGTCCTACGACTGCCTAGCCACGACTCACGCTTATTCTGAGATCGCACAATACAGAGAGCTCAAGCTATCACGTGGAAACTTTCGCATGTTTCGGAATGATCATAATCGCAGATTTTAAGTTACACTAAGGCCTTTCGTATAGTGAAAACCACTCTAAATAATCATAGCAGTTTTATGATTGTTAGATTGCCCCCCCCCCCCCCCCCCGTGACCATGGGTGCTATAAAATGCTTTACTCAAAGTGTTTTAATCAAAATAAGTCTTTATTTACAGAATACTTTCAGTAAGTCTCGAGTCAGTCACCCCCTAAAATAAAATTTCCTAAAAACTGTAACATGCTATTTCCCCTTCGGAATATCCCATAAACGGAAGGTACTATCCAAATTTCAGGTTTCTACGTCTAGCTTTTTGGCCTATGCGTTTTAATACAATATTTTTCATAACTTTAACGAGGGTGCGTTTTAAGACCATTTCGAAGAAATTAAAAATTGTGCATTTTATTAGTTTTAATTTCAGTCCAGAGTATATACAGGAAGTTTTAATTTTCACATAAAACCATTAACGACTGTTAATGTCTAGCAACTTTACTAATGGAAGTTAACTTTGCCATCAGGGGTGTACTGGTGCAAAATTACGATTAACACGGAAAACGTAGCGTTTTTCGACATATGCCATTTTTTGGATGAAAATACAATAAGTACTTGACAATGCTGTCAAAGCAATGCTGCTTTCGATATGGCAACATGAGAATAAATTTTGACATTTTATTTTAACGCCGTGTAGTGGCGGTCAAGAATATCCACTACCCCATATCCTCCCGTGGGTGTCGTAAAAGGTGACAAAGGGAAACAGGCAGGAGATGGGCAGCAGCATCTTCTTGATAACAACAAACTAACAATTAAAAAAAAACTGCGGTTGCTAACCCGCTCACCAAGCGTGGCAACTATGGCAAATACCCCCCTATGAATGACAGTAACAAAGAAACGGCCCCTAGTCCCCAGCGGCCCCGCTATTCCTGGCTACGGTGGCGACCATGGTAACGGCGGGGCAGGGGGTGCTAAGAATCTCCGGTGGAGGTTCGGTTGCCACCTTAGACGACTCGACCTGGCAACGTACAACGCACGCACCCTGAGGACTGACGAGAAGATCGTGGAGCTGGAAGAAGAGATAGACAAGTTGCGCTGGCATATTATAGGATTATCCGAAGTCCGAAGAGAGGGGGAGGACACGGTAATCCTCGAATCCGGCAACTTGCTCTATCACCGGGAGGGCGACCATCTGTCCCAAGGAGGTGTCGGATTTATCGTCCACAAGTCTCTCGTTAACAACGTTGTAAAGATCGGGAGTGTGTCGACGAGGGTTGCGTACCTTATACTCAGAATCACCAAACGGTATTCGCTGAAGGTCATACAGGTTTACGCACCAACCTCGGCACACCCCGATGAGGAGGTGGAGGAAATGTATGAGGATATCTCTAGAGCCATGCATTCCTCCAAAACCCAATATACGGTGTTAATGGGAGACTTTAATGCAAAACTAGGCACAAGAGAGAACGGTGAGCTGAAAGTAGGGAAATTTCGAATAGGGCAACGGAACCCAAGGGGCCAGCAGCTGGCCAACTTCATGGAGAAAGAGGGACTCTTTATGATGAACTCTTTCTTCCAGAAGCGGCCCCACAGGAAGTGGACCTGGTCGAGCCCCGACGGTTCGACAAAAAATGAGATTGACTTCATTATGACGACCAGACGACAACTGTTCAGTGATGTCTCCGTGATCGCGAGGGTGAAAACTGGTAGCGATCACCGAATGGTTAAAGGCATACTGAACCTAAACGTTAAGTTGGAGAAGTCCCGAAACCTTTCAGCTCGAGTTACAAAACCGTTTTCAGTGCCTAGAAGACTGCAATGAAGTGGACGATATGAATGACAAGCTCGTGGAAACTGTCCATGCGGTCGGAGCTAAGTTCTGCAAGACCCGCCGCAGAAGAACACAAAAACTCTCCGATCACACTCTTAATCTCATGGCTGTTAGACGGGAGATGAAGCTACATTCTTCAACAGACTTGACAGCATACAGGCATCTGAACAGACAGATCTCCAAATGCATGCGGCGGGACTTACGCAACTTCAATACAGCTCGTATTGAAGAAGCGATCGAGCGGAACCAAGGCTCCAAAGTCTTTGCCAGAGATCTGTCTGCCAGAAAGAGCCAACTGTCAAAGCTGAAGACAGAATGTGGCAGCATCGTTTCCGGGACACCTGAGATTTTGAGTGAGATTGAGAGGTTCTATGGGCAGTTGTACACGTCATCGTTGGAGCCACACGCAAGTGTGAGTAACGATCCAAGAGCGAGTCTCATCCGACACTATTCCGAAGATATCCCGGACGTCAGTCTGAGCGAGATTAGAATGGCTCTCCAGCACCTTAAAACGGTAAGGCCCCAGGCGAGGATGGAATTACAGCGGAGCTTCTGAAAGCGGGTGGAAAACCGGTACTTGAAGTCCTTCAGAAGCTCTTTAATTCCGTCCTCCATGGTGGCATTACACCGGAGGCGTGAAGCAGAAGTGCGGTGGTCTTGTTCTTCAAGAAAGGTGACAACGCTCTCTTGAAGAACTACAGACCGATTTCCCTTCTGAGCCGTGTCTACGTGCTGTTTTCGAGAGTCATTACGAATCGTCTCGCGCGCAGACTTGACGACTTCCAGCCTCCCGAACAAGCCGGTTTCCGAAAGGGCTTTAGCACCATAGACCACATACATACCCTTCGGCAAATTGTACAGAAGTCCGAAGAGTACAATTTGCCACTATGTCTGGCGTATGTGGACTATGAGAAAGCCTTTGATTCCGTCGAAATTTGGGCGGTGCTGCAGTCCCTTCAGCGGTGCCAAGTTGACTATCGGTATATCGAAGTGTTGATGTGCTTGTACAGTAGGGCTACGATGGCTATCCGAGTACAGAACCAGAGTACGAAACCTATCCAATTGCAGAGAGGTGTAAGACAGAGTGACGTTATATCCCCGAAACTTCAACGCTGCATTGGAAGACGTTTTCAAGCTTCTGGACTGGAAAGGATACGGCATCAACATCAATGGCGAGTACTTCACTCACCTTCGATTTGCCGACGATATAGTCCTTATGGCAGAATCGCTGGAGGACCTAAGCACTATGCTCAATGACCTCAATAGTGTTTCCCAACGGATAGGTCTTAAGATGAACATGGACAAAACTAAGATCATGTTTAATGTCCATGTCACACCTATGCCGGTAGTTGTTGGGAGCACTAAGCTCGAAGTTGTTGACGAGTATGTTTACCTGGGACAAATAGTCCGACTAGGTAAGTCCAACTTCGACCGAGAGGTCAATCGACGGATTCAACTCGGTTGGGCAGCGTTCGGGAAATCACGGCACATCTTCTCGTCAGGTATACCTCAAACCTTGAAAACGAGACTGTACACCCAGTGCGTGTTGCCAGTGATGACATACGGAACTGAGACGAGGTCCTTCACTGCTGGCCGGATGAGGAAGCTCAAGGTCGCTCAGCGAGCTACGGAGAGGGCTATGCTCGGAGTTTTTCTGCGTGATAAACTTAGGAATGAGGATATCCGCAGTAGAACCAGAGTAACCGACATAGCCCAACGGATTAGTAAGCTGAAGTGGCAATGGGCCGGCCATATAGCTCGAAGAACCGACAACCGATGGGGAAGAAAGGTTCTCGAGTGGCAGCCTCGTACCGGCAGGCGAAGTGTAGGGCGTCCCCCCACGAGATGGAGTGACGACCTGGTAAGACATGCAGGAAGTCGATGGATGCAGGTGGCTCAGGACCGTGCTTTGTGGCATTCTTTGGGGGAGGCCTATGTTCAGCAGTGGACTTGTGAAGGGCTGTAATGATGATAATGATGATGATGATGATGATTTTAACGCGGAATTGCGCCGGCGAAATAACCTTTTTGTGCTTTTGTGCTCCAGAACTTAAGTTTTTTATGCTTGAAATATTAAATGTATTGAATATCGTTTTTAATGCGTTGGTCTTAATATTTATCTATAAAACTAACTTGGCAAAGTTACCATACAGGTGATGCCACGATGTGACGGTTACTTTGCCATGTTTTGCTACAACCAAGGGTTGACTCTTTTGACCGATTATAACTACATATTTAAACAAACTATTCTGTACTTGACATTCTATGTGTGTATGTATGTTTCTATCGATGCTTCAACGTAGCTGCCATTAGACCGATTTTACCAAATGAGTCGTCAAGCAATTCATCTTTATCAAAAGTGAACGAAAAGAGAAATCAATTTTTTTATAGGATAGGGTGACAAACTAGCACACAGTCCACCTGATGGTAAGTGGTTGCTGTGACTCATAGACATCTACATCTGTCCTCAATAAAAAATCAAAATGCAGATGCGTCGTCACCCGTGAGGACTAAGATGGAATGCCCCTTTTCCTGTTAAATGGGTCTCCGGTTTTCTACACTCACCATATGAAACACAGCAGTGTCAAGCTGCCATTTTACTCTGGTATTCTGTGAGAGCGTGGTCCGTCCCCGGTCGAGCCAATCCATTCGTGCTACAACTATACTACTAATATAGCTGCATCATGGCTCTACCACGTGTAAAATTATATACTATATTATATTATTTTTACTGCGTTGTTAGGCATTAATAATATTATTACAACTCAGTATTTTTCATAATTTCAACATAATGTATTGATTTTAAACAAAATATTAATTGTCATTTTTAATGATTATTAATGTTTGGCTATTGTGGGAAAACAATATTTAGATTCATTACAATAATTATGAACTGACATACGAGTCGTAATAAAATGATAATGATGACTAATACAAAAACGAATACTTGTTAAAAATGATTGTGACAAGCTTTTTTTATCTATACTATAATTGATGAATTTGAAATTGAATAATGAGCTTATCATTATTATTGCACGATACTGATTTTTAATTTTAAACGAGAGTATTTTTGTTTGATGTATTTTAGAATTTTGCTTAAGAAATTATTGTGTAAATATTAAAATAAAAAAAAATAAGTTAATTACGTAATCACGGATTTTTGACAACCCTGACACATATTTTCAAGTATGTATCAAATATTTAAAAATGGGAGGGCAAATTTGCGACAAGAGTAAATTTTACTATTTACAACAAAATTAAAGGAGCAAATCATAACTCTGAGTGTTGTGTATTATATTATGAGGTAAACTTACCTTCAACCTTAATGTCAAATGATATTATTATCATATTATTTTCTTTAAAACCCTGATGGCAAAATTGCCACAACGTGAGGTTAACTTTGCCATTTTCTATTTTTGAGTATTTTGTCTATTTAATGTTAGTGTTTGTTTAAATTACTAATAAATACCAAATCTATGAAGAATATAATGTCACATTTAACATTAACGCCCAGTCTGACAGTACATTTTTCTAATGGCAAAATTGCCAGGTTTCACGGAACTAATATTTATCCATTCAAATTTGAACCTCTGATCCCCAAGTAAGAGGTTGTTTTGAAAAATCGCTACATCCGAATTCATTTCTTCATAATTTTCTTTACAGAATACCTTTATTAAGGTTCAAAGTCAATCTGTCCATAAAAAAATAGTTTCACACTCACCGTAACACCCTATTTACCCCCTCAGGGATTGAATTTTCCAAAACCATTTTTAGTGGATGCCTACATTATAAAAGGCGGCTGCTGTACAAATTTCAGTTTTCTACGTATAGCGGTTTGGGCTGTGCGTTAGATGAGTCAATCACCCAGGACATCCTCGTTGATATTATATTTATTAATAAACCACAATTTCATTACAAAGTTAAAGTTTCGACGATATTTTTGATTACAGAAAATATATTTAAAAAAAAAACATAATATGAATTGATATAATCAGTAAGTGCACCGCGTGCTCAGTGCGAGAATGGCACTTAAAATAAACACTTAATTTCTATATATTTCAACAGAGAATCAATCTTAAATGTTTCTTCACTCATATTTGATAGTTATAAAATATATGAAGGCACTACTTTGGCACCTGGCCTTCGTTGAAATATAATAATATAGTAAGAAAGCCTACATTTTAAAATAAAATAATCGAGAAATTTTGGAATTTCTAACTAACATTTGATCAGAAAATGAATTTACGGAATAATATAAATTTTCGATTCTTTTAACAAATAGTTGTAATAAAAGCCGAAAGGCCCAAAGACTACTATATAATCATACATACTCATTGTTCATATAAAATCAAAAAATATAATTTTTATACATACCTAATTGCTCCAGTAAGACACTTTCCAGCAACCTAAGTGATCTGCAAGCTGCTTCTACTAATACTGTGTATAATTCGGACAACTTTGTGTTTCTATGTATCATTGCCAATGTATCAATTTTTAATGGCATACTTATGCAGAAAGCGGCTGAAAACATGATTATTATGACTACACTTTTTCTTTAAAACATATTATTATATGTGCATATCTAATAAGTATATAATATAAATGCGTACATATTATATGTTACAACTTGCTAACATACGGTTATTTTATAAAGGAGTTAAAACAAAATATTATTCATAATACTTAAGATGCAATCACAAAAACGAAAAACAATCTCAAACTTTCAGTATTACTAATAAATACGATTTGATCGATAAAATTATATCTAAATAATCGCTTATGTGTGTGGAGGTTTCCCCGCGTAAATTATATTACATTGGATTGATCATAATGATAACAGACAGTAGTTAAAAAAAGAAATAACTAATTCGGGAATAATAGCATAAAAATTAAAGTAACTGAAAAATAAATTTAATATATTTAATTTTATTTAAATTTAATAATCTTCAAAAACAAATGAATATTCTATATTTCCCCGTATTCGAATATGCGCCATTTTTACGTTCTATAACTGATTTTTATATTTTTGCGTGTTTATAAAACGGTTTAAAAAAGTTTATTCATCTGTTTTTATAAAGTGTTTTGGGGCCTTATTTTAATTTAATAAAGAGTCACTTTACTGAAAAACTTCATGAAATATATAGATCAACGGTCATATGATACAGCAACAGGTACATAAATCTCATCAGAAAGATTCCGTCTGTACTTTTTAAATACGAAACCCTAAAAATATACAATGTTGTATTGTAGCAAAGGGCATCTTCATAAATAATGTGGTACAAAAATAAATAAAAGCCTAAACTACAGCGACTTGTAAATAAAATAACAATAATATCTTAACCTAAACAAATTAAAATTACGTTTCGGTCATTAGTTTTTCAGAAATCTATTATACAAATAAAATTGAAGTCTTGATCTGTAATTTTAGAATAAATGGCTTCTATTAGGCTCAGGGGGGTTATTTGCATGCTATTAAGACAAATAACCATTTAAATTTTTTTATCTCTCTGTTGAAAATTGAAATGGCTGAACCGATTGTGATGAAACTTTACGAAAAGATAGAAGACAATGCCAGATGGGATCTAGGCTATACTTTATCTAAATAAGGCCACATTAATAGATCCTATCCAGGCGAAGCCGGGGCGGGTAGCTAGTATATAATAAAATTAAAATCGGTATTTAAGTTACTCCATCTGTAAATAATATAAAGATCAGCAGATTATGATAGCCTTTTTATATCGCCGTAGTCGGGTAAAACCAATGTTAAATTAACTGAACTGCTTAAGTAACATATTTCCACCTAAAGAAGAAGAAAACGTTTTTAATACATTCTTGGGTACATGTGTTAACATGATAAAAGTAGGACTATATGAAAGCTTACTTAAAACCAATTCAAAGATGTAAATCTGGCAATATTGGGAGGTTATGTATTACCTATACTCTGTAACTGTCGCTTTTTTACTATAATAACTAAACTACAATTGTATTTATGTGATTATTAAATGCAATACTAGGAGAATAATGGGAGATTCTCAATTCAACTATAAGTTTTATTTATTATGTATATTATATATGTATATGTATATTACGCAATATCTCAGTTAATATTGTGAACCGATTTTGATGTTTCTGTTTTTACAGAGTTCTTATTATCATTCCCATAATAGAGCCTTCAGAGCATTCATTTATGAGAACTGCATGTACAACAAGCACTAGTAGTATAGGAAAGGACAACAATTTTGTATAAAAAATTATACATTTGTTTTATTATTATTATTATTATTTATATGTGACAGTTTCTGTGCTTACATTAATTTGCACTTTTTTACCTCCCTAGTTAACACAAATTAATTGAATATCGATCTTAAAACATTCGATTTAAACGATAATCAATTTTATTGCGCTCGTTTCAAATCGTAAATAGTTTTTTTTATTATTTTGAAATTTGAACTGTCAAGCTTTAAATCGACGAGATATTTAGTGGTCGCTAGCGTTTAAACACGCGAATTTCACTAGTGTATCGATTCTTTGCATTAGTTAATTTATTAATATAAAAATGTTTATCTTTTTTCCATATGCGGATAAATACCAAATGGATTCATATATTCTTCAAGGTAAGTAATAGATTTTAAATAAATCTTAAATCCGATTGTATTAATACAAAATTATTTCTTATTTTAGTTTTTTCCAATTTTAGATTGTGCAACGAGCCAGTTTTTTGTAATTTACGTCAGAAAATATAACCAATTTTTTAAAGTTTAAATTAATTTGTTAACTTCTGGCCCAAAAGTCTCAATCTCCTTTATCTAGAAATTTTATTATAATAACATGTGTATTCAGAAAATTAGGCCCTGCTCAGCTCCGAAAATAGATACCGCGTGATATGCCCGTTACAGCCTATTAAAGTCCACTGCTGAACATAGGCATCCCCGTTAGATTACCTCTAGGGGCTGGGGGGTATTTGCCATTGTTGCCACGCTTGACAAGCGAGTTGGCAACCGCAGTTTTTTTTTATTTCTAGTCGTTATTAGGAAGACGCTGCTATCTATCTGCTGATTTGTTTCCCACTGTCGCCTCTTACGATACGCACGGGAGGATATGGGGTAATGGATATTCTTACACTGTCACTAAATGGTATATATACATATATGATTTCAACACATGGGCAGTGATCATCATCCTTACGTTTCCTTTGTGTTGTCATCATCTTAACAGCCGTTTTCACAAGTTTATCCGATAATATATCTTTTGTTGTTTTCATCACTGCATTCACTGGCACTATTTCCTGAAAATATAACGAAAACTTTATTATTTTAAATTAAATTAGGTGAGTTACATTAGATCTTGATAAAAGGAGGAGATTTATTATTATTAGATGAGGAAGCTCAAGGTCACTTAAGATAGAGAGAGCTATGCTCGGGGTTTCTCTGCGTGATAGACTTAGAAATGAGGATATCCGCAGTAGAACTACAGTAACCAACATAGCCCACCAGATTAGTAAGCTGAAGTGGCAATGGACCGGCAATATAGCTCGACGAACCGACATATTACGTACAATGCGATTCAAATAATAATAGAAACAGCAATGACCTCGAATGACCGCGATCTGTCAACTGTCACTTGAAAAGTACGACTTGCAAAGAAAATTAATTTTCGTAATAATGTTTTTTTTTTCACGCTTTATTTAACTGAGTCTCAGTATTACCAAATCAATTAAACTCATAATTAATTTTATAAATTTATTTAAAATATTGATACAATCGGTGGAGTATTTTAAATACTGATAATGATGACTGCTCATACAGTGATGCAGAGATGAGCGAAATTGAAATGCTAGATTCAAATAAATACTTTTTCGTTCATGCTTGTAAATAAATATTATTTCAAAAATATCCGTTTTGCTCACCCTACCTAACTGGTTTGAAATGATAGCTATAAAATCACAATATGGCGCCAGGTCAGTCCTATTCTTATTTGAATCTTAACTTAATATACGTTCGCGCATCTCGCATATACGCTTATTAAAAAGTATAAATACGAATGTTCGAATTTTTTAAGTGCTTTATTGTAATGTTGTGTTTCTTCTTCCTGAGGACTTCTACAGGCAACAATGTACTGCTAGAACGTTGAAATAATATGTACTACGTACTACAACAGACACAAAGACTTGTTTGTTTGCATCACTTGTTAGAGTCAAAGGATTCTAACTTTACTCAGTCTAGCTAAGTTAAAGCCTAATATCTACATGCATTTATTTATTCGCACTGACGTGCTGTATAAACCTTTCGAAAAAAAATTTTATGCTAAGAAGAGACGTTTTGCACTTACGTTCTCAGTACTATCGATAAAACAAATGGTCATACATAGGCGAATTACTTGTAAACAGATTCAGCATATAGAAAATTTATTCAAAACTAGCGATTCGCCCTGGCTTCGCACGGGTGATTTCTGGATTTCAACAACAGTGCCATCTACCGTATCCAATCGTAAATCTAAACCATCCAGGGACCCATTTAAAGCGCGGTTTTTCATTTACCGGCAAGGCGACGGCGACGGCACGGCGATGACTCCCACCGATGTCGTCGCCGGTGCCGTTACACCAAAGCTTCCCACTCGTTGCCGGCCGGCAAAACTGCATGTGTAGTATGTACCTATTGCAGCCGTGTTCGTGTGCGTGCGCTCGGGCCGAAGTAGAAGGGACGCGTTGATATGGATACACAAAATTGAGTCTCCTCGTTTATGCGGAAATAATTTATTTTATTTTATTTATTTATTTATTTGCCTAATGCGCCAACATACAACATGAGGAACGTTTATATATTTTTTTATTTTTCTTTTTACTATAATCTATATGTATACATACTTTTAAATTGTTATATCCTTCAAATTGTTGTTTTCTTTATTATTATTATTATTTATTTTATTTTGTTATACTATTTTTAATTGATGTATCTATAAATGTTAAAGTTTAAGTACCTAATGATGTGTTGCAATAAATGTTTCTTTCTTTCCGACTTTTAAAATAGGATCCATATTATTCCTTCTAAGTAGTTTATTTTTAAGATGTGATGAATTCAAAATTTTACTTCTTTGCGTTGATTGTTTTTTGTCTTAAATGTAAGAGATATAACAAACAAATACGACGACTTGATGAAACCATTTCTACGTGCTGTAGAACTGAAGTCTGTGTTAGTACTGCCCAAAAACCGAGCGTAGATTGGCACCGGCACCGGCGCAGTGCAAAAACTAGCCACGGCGCATCGCCGTGCCGGTAAATGGGGAACCGCCCAATCACACTTAGAGACTAACGGGCAACAATGGAGAAGTTTCCATTTTTTTAAATGGATAAATTATAAAAAATTGAGTAAAATAAAACAAAAAAGTGAAAGAATCAATAAAATATCTCTAGAAATGAAAAAGTTATGGTCTAAGAGCTGGCTACGAAAACGTGAACTGATAAGGTGTAGTAACGAATTATATATAGGGGCCCAGGGGCGTAGCTACCGCCGTATCAGCCGTATCAACGATACGGGGCCTCCGGGCTACAGAGGCCACGAACGTGTGTAAGCAAAAATTCCAAGGACTTCTATGGGACAGGAAAGGCTATCACTATTGTCTATAGTAGCAAAGAATTTAGAAAAACTGAAATCGTCTTCAGCTATGAATGCCGCCGAATCGTCTTCAGCTACACTGAACAAAAGGCACGAAAAGTGTATTATTGATTTGAATTGATTGGCTAGCTTAGATCCTAAGAGTATTAATTGTAAGTAATAACTTATAATCATCATTCATCATCATCATTACAGCCCTTCACAAGTCCACTGCTGAACATAGGCCTCCCCCAAAGAATGCCACAAAGCACGGTCCTGAGCCACCTGCATCCATCGACTTCCTGCATATCTTACCAGGTCGTCACTCCATCTAGTGGGGGGATGCCCTACACTTCGCCTGCCGGTACGAGTCGGTTCTTCGAGCTATATGGCCGGCCCATTGCCAGTTCAGCTTACTAATCCGTTGGGCTATGTCGGTCACTCTGGTTCTACTGCAGATATCCTCATTTCTGAGTTTATCACGCAGAGAAACTCCGAGCATAGCCCTCTCCATAGCTCGCTGAGCGACCTTGAGCTTCCTCAGCCGGCCAGCAGTGAAGGACCACGTCTCAGTTCCGTAAGTCATCACTGGCAACACGCACTGGTTGTACAATTTCGTTTTAAGGTATTGAGGTATGTCTGACGAGAAGATGTGTCGTAGTTTCCCGTACGTTGCCCAGAAGAGTTGAACCCGTCGATTGACCTCTCGGTCGAAGTTGGACTTACCTAGTCGGACTATTTGTCCCAGGTAAACATACTCGTCAACAACTTCGAGCTTAGTGCTCCCAACAACTACCGGCATAGGTGTGACATGGACATTAAACATGATCATTGTTTGTCCATGTTCATCTTAAGACCTATCCGTTGGGAGACACTATTGAGGTCATTGAGCTTGGTGCTTAGTTCCTCCAGCGATTCTGCCATGAGAACTATATCGTCGGCGAATCGAAGGTGAGTGATGTACTCGCCATTAATGTTAATACCGTATCCTTTCCAGTCCAGAAGCTTGAAAACGTCTTCCAATGCAGCGTTGAAGTTTCGGGTTTATATAACGTCACTCTGTCTTAGACCTCTCTGCAATTGGATAGGTTTCGTACTTTGGTTCTGTACTCGCATAGCCATCGTAGCCCTACTGTACCAGCACTTCAGCACTTCGATATACCGACAGTCAACTTGGCACCGCTGAAGGGACTGCAGCAACACCCAAATTTCGACGGAATCAAAGGCTTTCTCATAGTCCAAATACGCCAGACATAGTGGCAAGCTCCGCTGTAATTCCATCCTCGCCTGCGGCCTTGCCGTTTTTAAGGTGCTGGAGAGCCATTCTAATCTCGCTCAGACTGACGTCCGGGATATCTTCGGAATAGTGTCGGATAAGACTCGCTCTTGGATCGTTACTCACACTTGCGTGTGGCTCCAACGATGACGTGTACAGCTGCCCATAGAACCTCTCAATCTCACTCAAAATCTCAGGTGTCCCGGAAACGATACTGCCACACTCGGTCTTCAGCTTTGACAGTTGGCTCTTTCTGGCAGACAGATCTTTGGCAAAGACTTTGGAGCCTTGGTTCCGCTCGATCGCTTCTTCAATACCAGCTGTATTGAAGTTGCGAAAGTCCCGCCGCATGCATTTGGAGATCTGTCTGTTCAGTTGCCTGTACGCTGTCAAATCTGTTGAAGAATGCAACTTCATCTCCCATCTAACAGCCATGAGATTAAGAGTGTGATCGGAGATTTTTTGTGTTCTTCTGCGGCGGGTCTTGCAGAACTTAGCTCCGACCGCATGGACAGTTTCCACGAGCTTGTCATTCATATCGTCCACTTCATTGCAGTCTTCTAAGCACTGAAAACGGTTTTGTAACTCGAGCTGAAAGGTTTCGGGACTTTGGAACAGAGCACGAGGGGGACGGAGCGTTGACTTCATTAGACGAGACCTCTCCAACTTAACGTTTAGGTTCAGTGTGCCTCTGACCATAGACATGCGCGCCGAGCAAGAATTTGGCGGCGGCGGCGTGCCGACCCATTGTGGTCGGCGTGGCGACGCCGCGCCGGGGTGGCCGTATTTTATTTTAATTTTTATAAACATTTGTTTAAAATAAGGTAGTAACAAGTGAAACATTGACCTAGATAGGAATTCAAATTTAATTTCTCAAAATAAAAACAAACCAAACAAGTTCTAATTAATTATACCTTATAATTTGTACAAAAACGAAAAAGCACATTTTTTTCGTTTTTTGCACAAATTATAGGAAATTAAAATTGTGTTTTTTGCACAATGTATAATTATCATGAATAAAAATAATTTTATTAACGCGTACTGGGCTTAGTCTAGATCTTTTAGCAGCCACAGTTAGTCCCACTATAGAAAAAACGCGCTCACTTGGCGTGCTAGTAGCAAATGTTCTGATCACAGAGTACTTTTTATATACATAAAGTTCTGATACGCGCTCCAGAGACTGTAAAAATTTAATTTGTTCTATTTCCGCCGCTCGCTTCAATTCCGGTAAGCGATACCGAACGATTTTTACGATCTTTTTACATTTTTTTATTGATTTTTGAATTTTTTAAATAATAGCATGGTTTTATTGACCCCGCGTCCGCGCGCCCGTCCCGCGTTGGATTACGGCGCGCCGATCGGATTTGTCGGCGCGGCGCAGCGTGGGCAGGGTGCGGCGTGGCGCGGCGGCGCCGGCGC